ATTTTTTAAATGGGTTCGAACAGCGGCCTCCAGCAACTTCAGAGTGGTCCGAAAGTCGTGTCACCCATACATAATATTTTTTAATTTCAGATCGCTGACACGAGCTGCTTCACGAAAATGAAGTTCATACAGACCTTCTCAATGCGTGACAGCGTCAATGAAAGTGAATAAACCGAATCCAATACTTGTGCTTTGTAATGTATTATTTTTCTATTGTTCCCATTACTTTTTGGTACGGGGTGACACGACTTTCGGACCATCCTATACAATTCAATTTATACTTTTTATTATTATTTACTTTTGAAAATATCGCTGTTTCTTCAGTATCCCAAGCTGAGTGATGTCTTAGCTGAGTGATGTCTTAGTTGAGTGATGTCTTCGCTGAGCTCTGAAAATGCTTTGCAACATTAATTCACAGGTTCTTCTTGTCCATCCCAACAGATCTTACTTTCATATTTCCTGTCTTCCGTGAACCGTTTGCTATTCTTCCTCTTTCTTTGTTGCTCTCTCTCTCTTTCACACACACACTTTCTCTCTCTCTCTCTCTCTCTCTTTCACACACACACACTTTCTCTCTCTCTCTCTTTCACACACACACTTTCTCTCTCTCTCTCTCACACACACACACACACACACACACACTCTCTCTCTCACACAAACACACACACACACACACACTCTCTCTTCTTGCTTTCCAGTCAAATTTGATCTTCAAAAATGTAAATGCAACATCAATCGTTATTTTTTTTTCTTAATTTCTGTTGTTTTATTGTTCTCTCTCTCTCTCTCTCTTTAATAGTGTTTTTCTCATATTCTCCCACGTAGTAACCTCATATGCGTCTTATGGCTTTATTGCCTTCCCAAGGTGAAATGATTAAAAAAAAATATTCACTTCTTTTCAAATTTATTCTATACCTTGATCATAAATTAATTAAGCCACCAAATTACATCCATATACTTGATGAATCCGAGTGAAACCAAAATAAAACTTTAAAATGTAAATGTGACGAGGTGGGTGGCCACCAGAGCCACAAGGAGGCTTGACAGCAGTCATTGAACGGAAATAAATGTAGAAACGCCCGGTTTTATAGGATAAGAATGAGGAAAAACGCGAGGAAAAGCTTGATTACGTTTAATGATCACTGGAATTAAATGTGGAAAAAACCAATTAAGAAAGTTAATTAGCTTCATGAAATTAAACGAGTTGAGAATTTCTTAAAGAATCCAATTCGAATATTAACTTGGGTATAATTTAGCAATTTAGTATAACTGTGCTCACCCGATACACTCACCAAGTTGGGTAAAAATGGTGACAGGTAACAAATTACTTTTTCATCTGCAGTCAAAAATTCACTCTAAAATCATTGAGATTAGGTTATTATAAACATAATAACATTATACCATAAACACTTAACCATCACTCTGGCGTGGTTCCTTAAAGCGGAATAATTATGAAGTAAAGTGATTTCCAAAAAGAAAATAATTAAATTTTTGGCCAGACCCCTTTCAAATACCTTTGAGATATCCAAAGTAACCACCCAACCTTCAACATTCTTATCTAAAGCTTGATATACTCTTTCATCAATAATCGTTAATACATCAGCAGTTAACCAAGAGAAAGTTTTACATATTCACCGGTGGTCTTATAGGAAGAATTATTTCGAGAATTTGGTTATCAAAATTCATACAAGTGGCTAGCTGTCTGTGTGCTTAGGACCTTAAATAATTAAATCATGTCAATACATCATAGGAGACAAGCGGACAGGTTAGTTTTCATAAATACGAATACCTGACCAATTTTGGGATAGTAGACAAACGTAAATAAAGAGACAAGTGAAGTCGGCTAGGCTAATGCATGCCGCCATCAGGCATTAGCATTGGGGGTCGGGAGACACTAGTTGAAACTTCTTTGCTAAAAAAAATGAAAAATCTTTCTTGAAGCAATTTCAGATTTAGTTCCAATCTAATAAATTAAATTTAATATTCCCAATAAGCAAAATACTTTGCTGTCTTTCAAACAGAATTTAAATTGATAGGAATCATTTTTCTACTTATCAGTATCTCTAAATCCGTTCATATTGACCAATCTGTCAACACAACATAATTCTCTTCGGTAAAAATCCTTCAAAAATAAAATATAGTGTTCTGAAATGATGAGAAAAATTAACTGGTTTAAAATTTAATTAATCTGAATTGAAACAAATATTACTTTTAGTTTAAAATATCACAAAAAAGCATTTTTGAAGTAACGAGTTATGTGTTGACAGCCTGATGTTTGAGAAATTTAAATACGGGGCACATAATATAAATAACATTACATGAATACAACATGAATGTCTTTTATATATTTTTAAGTACCCAATAATCTTTAAATTTTCAAATGTTTTAAGCATTCTAATATTTTATTGAATTTCAGGTACTTTGGTTTATGAAGACACTTGTTGAGGAAATGTTAGAAAATTACCAATAAAGTTTAACTTTACCATAGTTACTGTTCTTATTTTCTGATAATGTCTCGTTTGGACGTCCATATTTACAAACATTGACACGTTTTTACACATTAAATAATTAAAAATACTTTTTAAAATAACAGTTGAATTGTAGAGAGCTTTTCCATTTATGATTAGTAAATACAGTTTTAATAACAATATCACTTGACCGCTACAAATTAATACAGAATTTTAAAAGTTTATAAATTATTCTAATAAATTTTTTTTTAAAAAGTGAAAAATGTTCTTGCAAATTTGATTATTCATCAAATTTTATTTTAAGAAATGTCAATAACATATTTTATTCATGAAAGCAATTAAAAGCTTTTCTAGTTAGATAATATCCTAGTTTTACGCATTTTCTATGATACAGAGAAAGTTTTTGTAATTGGGGTCTTGTTTGACCTCCCCCAAAATTGATTTTTCATGAATATTAAACTCTACACAGAAAAAAATTTCTCGAGATTTCATAAAGTAAAATGAATTGGGTGTAACAAATGTTTAAAAAAAAATTACAAAGAGTTTCTAAAAACGAAACATTTTAAAAAAAATAATTTATTTCCGGATAAGTCATCAAATTTTCATTAAAATCCGACAATTATCTGATTTTTGCAAACATTTCTAAATCAGTTTTTTTCTCTGCAAAAAGACATTCAAACTTACCGTACAAATTTATGGTCCTGCGTTGACGGTAGAAAAACAAGATTTTTCACAAAAGATTCCAAAAATGATAAAAAAAAACTGATTTTTACATAAAAAAAACTTTTTTCCTCTTAATAATATTTATGTTTTGTGCTTTTTTTCATCTTCTATCGCATTTTTTTTTTTTTTTTTTTTTTTTTTTTTTGAGGTAACCAACAGATAAAATAAACAGCAGTTATTAAAACTTTGGTCAGTCTTGGGAATCTGTCAACTTTAATTTTGTGTAACACAAAACTGGCTCGTGCTTGTGACGTTTTATCCCTAGTTTGGAATATTTTCACACCTCAGATCTAAATACGTGTTGGGTTCAGGTAGTCGCTGAACCAATGACCGGAACACAAGTCCAATCTTCACCTCTAAGGTTATCTGGTACTTTGACCAAAGATTCTTGATCCTGAAATTGCAAACAATAATGCAGTGCTATTTTAGGTGACGGGGACAAACTCCTACGCTGTTTTTAATCTTCATTAACGACCTTCTCGATGGCATCAGCTCTCAACTCTACGTTGACGACACTACCATTTACTCCTGCTTCGATAGTAAGGCTGATCATTCAGACAAGGTTGAAATGGCAGCTGATGTACAAAACGACTTCAAGACCGTCGTTAACGGGGGCAAAATTGTCATTTTTAATGACTCCAAAACTAAACTTCTCTCCATTAATCATCTGAGAGATCCCTCTCTGTCTTCCATTAGCATGGCTGATACTATCCCCCAAGAAAGTGACATTGCGCTTTCTTCGGACTAATGTTCTCAGCTGACATCGGGTGAAAAGATTACATTGAATCCATCACTAGATCAGCTGCTAAGAAAGTCGGGTCACAGTGTTAGGAGAGACAATTTTTCTCCCTGGAATCTATCTTGCATATATATATATCTATATCTACCATTCGTCTATGTTTAGAATATTACTGCCATATATAGTCTGGTTCCCTACTATTTTCCTGGAGCTCCTTGATAAGATCGAAAGAAGAGTCAGCAATATTATTGGTCCTGATCTGGCGGCTCGGCTTCACTCACTTGCCCACTACCGTAAGGTTGTCTCTCTATGCCATTTTTATAAATACTTTCATGGTAATTGTTTGGATGAGCTCTTCGCTATGAATTTAAGTGCAATACTAGACTGGCGGAGAGATCTCGTCAACTTATAGTTGAGATAGCGAGATGAAGCTGTAACTTCTATGCTAACAGTTTCTTATCTCGCACTTCTCGCTTGGGGAACTCCCGCTCGACTCCATGCTTTCCAACTAACTTTAAACAGAAACAGTGAAAATGAATGCAATGTCAATCGCTATCTACCGTCCTCCTGATTACTCTTTCTCCTCATTACTAATGTTTCTGTTGTTTCTTGCGTGATAGTGGCTGTACCACCTTGCTTGGGGTGATACCGATTTAAAAAAAAAATTGACCAACGAAAAGCTAGGAGAAGAAAATACTAAAGCATACACCAAATCCACGTCTTTGCTGCCAGCTAAGATATTACACAAAATATTTGTTAGAAATTGTTAATATCTTTCAGTTTCGTCGACAATGACGTGTTGCATGTTGGCTCATTGTTCCGTTTTAAGTTATCTTATCCCTCTCTTTCAATCGATAATACTCGTGTATTGTTTCTCTTGTTGACGGCACGTCACTGAAAACTTCTTTCACTTGTCTTCCTTCCTTTTCTTTGTTTTGGATTCTTATGGACTCTCTTGTCTTATCGTCTTTTCTCTCTTTTGTAAAACATTTCATTTTGCTTGTTTTTCGATCTCGGATTTCCCAACGCTATGATAGCAAAGCTCTGGGTAACACATATGACATGACACTATGACACCCATTCTAAAATCTAAAAAGGTAGAAAAATACACCAGCTGCTTTCTTTCTTCCTTTATTCTTCTTTCTTCCCGTATCATTTTACCTCCGAAATGGTACTTTCTTTTTCTTCTTCCCTTCCTTTCTTTTGTTCACTTCTTTCTTTTTATCTTTCTCTTCTTCCTTTTCTTTTTTCCTTTACCTTTTCTTTCTTTCTTTCTCTGTCTTTTCTTTTTCTTTTCTTTCTTTTTTCTTCGTTCCTTCTCTTTTCTTAGTTCTTTTTTCTTTTTTTGTTTTTATTTTCTTTCTCTTCCTTCTTTGTTTTCTTTAATTCCTCTCCTTCCTTTCTTTTTCTTTCCTTCTCTATTCTTTCATTTTTCTTCTTTCATTTTTCGTTTTTTCCATTTTTCTTTCTTCTCTCTTTCTTTTTCTTTCTTTTTTACCTTATTTCTATTTTCCCTTTCTTTCCCTTCTCACTTTCTTTCTTTTTTTATCTTTTTCTTTCTTTTTTCTTTCTTTTTCTTTTCAGTTCCTTCTACCTTTTTTGTCGTTCTACTTTCTTCCTTTAAAGAGTCTTCTAGATATGTTTGTCTTTAATGTTTTACAAACAATAAAATTTTAATGATTTCAAAATATAAATGGTAGATTTAAATTACGGAAATGTGTTTGGGGTATCAGTATTCGGACTGCAAATGGCATGAAAAGAAAAACAAACGAATGTTTTTTGGGTTTTTTTTCAGGATAGGGGAGTGTTTGTGTAAATAATAGCAGATGCAGTAAGAGTGTAAAATGGGGTGGGGAAGAGGTGACCTAGGGTCCATTTAGTAAATAAATAAAAGGGAAGAAATGAAAAGAAAAGAAAAGAGATCATTTTGTAAATAACGACTGAAATGGGAATCTTTTAACAAAAAATAGGTTCTAAAAAAAATACGCTATATATGTAGGGGTGCTGAAAAGTTATCGACTGTGTCAAGAAACTCTCCTTCACAAAATTCTGATATTTGGAGATGGAATCAAAGTTCCATTAGTAGATTCAGTCCAAGAACATATATATAATGAGAAAGATCAGTAAAATTTATAATCCGGTGTTCTTATTAATTATTTTTATTAAAAAAAAAAAAAAAACAAAAAATAAAAGTGCTCAATACTATTCAGTAGAGCCTAAACATTATATAAATTTACTAATTTAAAAAGATGGTTCCATCGCGATTTTTAAATTAGTAAATAAATTTAATCGGATTAAAACAAATAAAAATTTATCCCTTAACTGATTGATGATATATTCAGCACCTTTCTCTATGTTTTGGAATTTACTATATTGTTTAGAACTTGCCGTGTTTATAGGGGAAGAGTGTTCGAATATCAGTGATTTTCAACTTCATTGCAATCTGTCTACTCACCATGCAATAGTGATTTCTATGCCCACAGATATATATCTGTGTGTATGTATTCTCCACATGGGGGTATAATGACAAATGGTCGACTATTCTTAGACAAAAACAGAACAAAACATTAACTTTTGACACTTTTTTTTAAAATACAATAAAACATGAAACAGTTTTTGTCGGTTCAATTATATTAAAAAAAAAAACTTTAAATACAATTAAATGGCACTTACTAAAATCTTTATCTGGGCGAAAACATTTCCACACTCCGATGCATATAGGACAGAAGGATTCCCATTCACGTGTGTGTGTGTGTGTGAATGTTATTCATAAATATAGATTACAGATGAAATGAGTCATATAGGAATATATCGGTGGTAAGAAATGCTTTTATTTATATCTACATCTTTCTCTCTTCTCCACTGTCTCCCTCCCAATATGTCTGAAACTGTATATGCACTCGGGGTTTTCGCCATTCAGTCCCTGCTATCCTTTGATGGTCAGCTAACTAATCTAGTAATCCATTATGCACAATATCGGATGTCAGATTTTATTCTGCAAGTCAATGTTTTCACAATAAACGTTTTTGGTGGTGCCAAACTTCTTCCACTTCAGAATAATTGATCTGATGCTACTGGCAGGAATGGTAACCACCTTGGCAATGATCCTGAAGCTCAAACCTTCATTATGTTGCTTAATTAGGTCATTCATTTGTTTGGATGAACTTTCCTTTCCTTTAAACCCTGACAGCCTCATTACAAGAAGATGAAGTAGTAATAGGTGATTGTGATTCTTAAAGTATTAATTGAAAATTTAAAAATCTTAGATTGAATTAAACTTTGTATTCTTTTTAATAATATTTAATAGTACACAAATATATTTCACCATAACTTTATTTTATTTTGTATTGTATGCATGAAAATATTTTTTATTAACAATTGTTAATTTCATATCTCAATACTTCACCTGTATAAATTTAAAGTAAATGTAAATATTAAAAAAAATATTATATAAAGAAGACTCTACAAGTCACCAGATCTTTCTTGAGAGGATGAAATATACAACAAGTTAAATATGTAACGAAATGTTTGTAACCTTTTTAGTTTCTTTTGGCTTGTAATCAATTCCTGCCATCCGTTTCTTTTAGTCAAACATTCCACTGACCGAAACACGTGTCTCCAACTTGATACAGCAGTGTCTGTCACTTTGTTATGCCTCCTACTTTTTTTATCCTCTTTGACCGTCTCGCGAGAGAGTATCCAACTCCGGGATCTATCTTTTTTAAATGTGTAACCCACGAGGCCGCCATTTTATATTTCTGGGCAGTTTGCATGCGAGACACGTTCGAATCTGTGTTCGTCATGAAGGTAAGCCATATTCTCTAGCGTTACATTGTTGCAAAAGAAAAAAAATGCATTCAACCCCCGTGCCTTTTTGTACTCTACGGTAGCTCGCTACAATTCATCAACCAATTTTAAAGAAACTCTTCTTATTTTTCTTTATTTTTTTGATCTGCTGAATAAAGTACATAATGAGTATTGAACAATGGAAAACGTATTTTAACAAAAATAACAGCCAGCAGTAAGAAACTTAAAGTAGCCAATTCAAATGTTTTGGGTCGAGTATCAGTGAAGAAGAGGGATCCAGAATAGAAATAATTTCAAGAACAACACAACAACAACAGCAGCTGTCAGAAATCTGGAAAGACAAGAACATCTGCCTTTGAATCAAAGATCAAATTGCATGCGTTGACTTGACCGTCTTCTTAATCTTTCAGTACTCCTACGTATCTTGGGCATTAACAACAGAATATATATTTGAACTTTATTTCAATCCTTCATCATCTTCCAATCATTAGCTATGATTAATTAATGATGAACATGTCATTTTCGTTTATGATTGATTTCATCACGGTTCTTCTGTTAAGCTTAGAGAGTAATTATATATTCTTATTGCTCAAAGTAGTGTTATAAAAATCCAGTAAGATAATTTCATTATTTCTTGAGATATAATGGTTCAGAGCTTAATCTAACAACTGGACAATTTTGCTGTTACACCTGGTGTGTGTATATATATATATATATATATATATATATATATATATATATATATATATATATATATATATATTACATGCACTCTATTTTTAGATGTTGTTTTCTTTATGTCTCTATCTAGCAATCTCTCCATTTCATTTTGTGTCTCTGTTCACATATCTATAGGCAGGGAATGAAAAGCATAACTATTGAATGAAACCTCTTGTTTGAAATTAAACGTCTCTATTGATATTCATCACGTGTATTTAAAAATATATATATACCTCTCTAATTAAATCTATTCAGATACATATCTGTCTGTCTATGGATTGTCATCCAACGATACCTATACATTTAATCTTGAGTAAATTGAAATTATATTTAGGTTGTTGTAATTTTATTTTCCATCACTGTACATTGTTTTCTCAGTGTGTATGTAAAGTAGGTTGTCATTTGGTTTTCTGTATGGTTGATATGTAGATTTATGATGCCACAAACTGACACATGAAAATAAGTATGATGCATGAAAAAAAAATTATCTTTCATGTTCAAATTCTTCACAGGAATCAGAAAATTGGCCTAAATTGTAAAACAATTCTGTAAAAAGATTTAAATAATGACATCTCATTGGTATTCAATCAGATGTGTATACACACACACACACAGATGAAGATACTGAAAAGTTTTCAGCATAACAATGTATTACCAAACTGGTGGAAAGGTGTTTTATCAGGTCAAGAACCTTTCAGCACCCACTATATATATATATATATATATATATATATATATATATATATATATATATATATAGTGCTTTTGATTTGCACAGTATAATAACAATGATTACAGTGATGATTTCTTCATAATCACAACACCTTCCAATAACCAGAAGGTAAGAATTAATTAACAGTGAATATCTCATGATATTCAGCCATCCTTTAGTTAGGATCACAAATAAAATTATTTTTAGTTTTCTTTCTTTCTTTTACTACTGTTGGAGGATGATAGTCTTGACTCCCACCCCCTCCTCGACAATTCTTACCTGCCAAAGCAATTAACATTTAATGTGTGCTCACAGTTTCTTCAAAATCTTTAAGACTGGTGTGTGATCTTTTTCTGTTGGAGGAGACACTTCCACATTTGCTTGAATCTGCACTGATTATTATTAAAAAGAAAAAATACATCAATAACACTGTGTCCGAAAGAATTCCACACTGGTTATAAGAAAGCCTGCAGGTGAAAATAGTCGCCATAGAATTCTCTCCCTTGCTACTCTACGTACATTCTATTGCCTTGAGACGGTTATAAATGAATACCTATCAACTGTTATTTACGGTATTTTAAGCTGGAAATTGCCTACTACTGCTTTGAAACATGGTTAAACTTCCAACTCCATTTTGAATTCTAAACACGAGGAAATACGTCACTTTTTGGACGAAATGAAAGCTTTCTTAGCGATTGCGTTTCTTATTGCATCACAGAACTCCACAAGGAGTAATAAAATTTAAAGTACGTTAAATTATTTATGTATTTTTTAATTTCACTTCTTTTATTTCATGTTTCAAATTCTTTTGATTTTGAACGTCAAAACTTGCATGCAAAACGTAATGCATTACATCAAAATATTATTCATTCTTTTATTACTGTACAAATTTAAAATCTATATGCACAATACAAAGAAAGTTATAACCATTTTAAAACAGTAGGTGTTCACGTTTTTGAACCCACAAAAAAAATGCAGTGGCAGGGGAGACAACTCTAGAAAGAAATTAGCATGGTAAAGGTTAATTAAAGGCCTAGCAAAATGCTGGATACTCTACCTTAAAGTTAGTTCCATTAGATTTTCACAAAAAAGACTATACTTCAGCACCCCTTTCACACTAAAATGTTAATATTGACCTCTGAAAATAAATAAAACTGAGTCTATTTTCTTTAATGCTCATTAAAAGATCCCGATAAACATGATGTGATAATGAATATTAAACCATTTCACATTTCAAGTTCTAGTATTGAAGTGGTTTAGTGGTATAAGCACTGGTTAAGTGTTGAGCTTGCCTGGTGGTCATCAGATCATTCCTCCAATCAGCTAATGAAATATGGCACCAAAAGGACAAAACCAAAGAATCAACTAATGACCTATGCCTTTGTATGTACAAAGATGAAGAAAAACCAAGGC